TTTTCTTTGAAAGCTGTAGGTATAGTTCTTTTAGGGTGTAAAAAACCCATTACTAGAAAAATAATGGAATATGATGTAAATTACATAGTTTTAAATGGAATATCCTATATATTTTATTAATTGCTGAAATTTGTTAATTTTTCTGTTTTTTTTTAATGGAACTAAGTATTAGATTCATATCGAACTATGGATATTCTAATCAATCTAAAACTCAAATATTGGCATTACTATTATCAAGTTGAAATTAAATTGTAACAAAAATAAATTGGTAACATTAAACATATATTTTAAAAATGATTCTTTTAATTTTTGTTCGAAATATTTTTCTTCTCTTCTAACAAGCTAGTGAGCAAAGATTCACCCACGGCCTTCAAGTACATAGCCTGAGAAAAAATTATGGGGTTACAGTCATAAATGGAAATAGAAAATTATTGTTTATACTTATTCGAATTGAACTGGTGTCAGTTTGTTTTATTACAATTTATGGCGATAATATATGGTGGAAAATCCTGTACCTAATTTGAAATATTAACTTACTTTTTTAACTAATATATTTCAATACCGAGGTAGTTATTAAGAAAATCTCATCCCTCGAGGGAAATCTTCCAGGTATTATATAGCGATGGTGCTTTTTTAATTCGTTTTGCGCAATTCGGTTCATTTCATCCGCTATATTATCCCCGAGATGAAACGTACTGGAATTATTTCATCCATCACATAAAACTCATATTAAAAGTATTAACAGAAAGAGCGACATATATTTTTGAGATTTTATTCCCTCTGGATAATTGACAATCATGATAATATAGTAATTTAGAGTTGTCGAGCCCGACTGCCTTGGAATTTAGATTAAAGGAAATGCTAGTAAAGCGACTGCATACCCTGATGTATTGAAACAGATTCAAAGCAATGCTCCAGATTTGAAATATTATCCGACATTTCCTGTTAAAAGCCAAAACTACGGTCGCAATTCGCCAATCGATAGAAACCCAAATTAGCAAGTCAATTAAGACTAAAACTACCCTGGCCCAGATATGCCAATAATTTATTAGAGGTGTACTGTGCATATATAGGAAAACGAATATGTACTTATCTGTTTTTACTTTATTCTAAAAGCATAAAGCTAAACAAATTCTTGTTGTTTTAACTTCACCTTTGACAAAGACTAAGGGTAACACCAAGGGCGTCGCCATGGGGGGCAGGGGAGGGCAGATGCCCCCACCCCCCTAGAAGTTCGAAAAAAGTACAAAAATTTTCTTAAACCAAGAAAATATTGTAAATTTTACTAAAATATTTTATTTAGTTAAACTTTCATTTTGAAAATTAAAACACTATTTAAAAAACAATGGTTGTAAATTAGTATAAATAGTTATTTGTTTGAGAAAAAATTTTCAAAATATTAAGTTTTATTTTAAGAAATACCTAATATGCTTCCATATTTTAAAAATTTTGCTCTTGAATTTTAAATAAAAAAGAATAATAAATTATCTATCGGAATCGGAATAAAAGTTTAACAGTGCAACTAACTATACAGGGTGTTTTTTAAGTAGAGATTAAATTAATTATTTTGTTATTATTTTAAGTAATGTAATGAGTATCGTAAAAATGCACTTAATCAAATAAATCAATTTTGTTGTTAATCGATTTGGAATACAAAGTGTATAGAAACAAAAAGTGAAGATAATACAATGGCACATATGCTGACATATTTTATTTATAATATTATACAAGGTGATACATTTTGCTTTTGGCAAATAATGATCGATGACCCACGCCTCCGCCACTGGTCAGTTTCTAAAGCTGGTAATTTTTTGTTTCATACCTACTGTCATATGCACACATTACATTACATTTTTGACCACAGAATACGCCCCTGGATTTTTGACCTCTACATAAGAAACACCCTGTATGTATAACGCACCAATTTTGAAGACCTCTGTATTTTCTAGGGGAAGCAAAACGTTTTTAATTTTGTAGGTTTACCCGTAGATTTACGAAATTGATATATTTACAATTATAAGGTTCTATTAAATGTATTTCTACAAAACCTTAAATCATTGTACCTACTTGTATTGTTTACGAACCACCTGACACCGAAACGAAACCAACAACAAACGAAAAAAATACCTATTTCATCTCGAATAGCCACCATAATGTTACTCACATACGGGGTCTGTTCAGAAAATAACGAATTTTATGTCGTTCCAGAAAATCGCACATTTCACTTCAATGTCCCAATTTGATCACTACGGATTTTTATTTATTTGAAACTTAAAGTTTATGTTTATGGAAATGCTAATTTCAGAAATAATGTTGAGTTACTGAAAATCAAAATTAGTAAATATTGCCAATCTTTCCTGGAGTAGGTATAAAGATTTTTTCTCAGCTGGAGAAGCCTCGGTTCATAATTTTTGGTTCCAAGTCGTAAGAATTAAATTAATCAGGCCTAAAGCCAATTTGATCATAGTTATTTGACCAGTTTCAAGACTATTCTACTAAATTCCGATTCGTACCCATACGACAACTTGAACATGGATTTTTCAAAGAATTAATTGTTATGCCATCCTGTATGCCGTGTATGCCCAATTCCAAAATTAACATTATGAGAAGAGCGAGCCTTTTCTAACTACATATTTATTAGTGACATTTATTTATATGATTTATTTTTCAGGATTACAGTGATAAAGGGTTTGACAGGTGGTAAGGAAAATATAGCTATTAGATAACGTAATAAAGGTAATGTAATAGAAAGAGATTGGTTGGTTGCTAGGTTACCAAGACACATTGCTCTAATGCCTTGTTATAATGGCCATAATATGGCATTATCGCCTTTATCGCCACAGGTCCTGTCGGACTTGTGTCCGTGATTCTGAAAAAGTGTTTCAAATATAAAATAATATACGGAATGCTTCATATTAAAAAAATGTTATTTAGATAAATATGTCGTCAATTCGACTTTCAATTTTATTTTCCTTCAGGATTCGTATATTATACAGGGCGTTTGTAAATAATTGCGAAATATTTTAGGGGGTGGTTGCCGAAGTTATTTTGTGAAAAAGAGTTCGTATACTTAAACGCAGGTCGAAATATGCTTTGTTTCAGAGATATAGAATGTTTAAATTTTAATTTTTTATTTATTTTTATTAATTTTTTCAGTTTTAAATATATTGACTTGAAATTTGAAAAACGCTTTGGAGGGATAAATGTGCATTGTTTGGAGTGATCCGAATATTTCTACTTTTACCAGTGGCGTTCGTGCGAGGATGCCACAAACTTTTTTAATAAAAAAAATGGTACGCCAGACTTTTTCCCGTTTTGATATTTTTTTAGAAATCCGCCTTCAATTCTGAATGAAATTGGTCGCGTCAATTTTTTTCCAAGGATGCTCTGTTTTTGAATAAAACATATTTTATTGTAGGCCTTGTAAATCTTTTATTTAAAGGTCCCTTTTAATAAAGTATTATGATCAATGTAAAAATGTAATTCAACATTGAAAATAAATAAATTGATATGAATGTGAGTATTAACCAGGAGGAATATTAGCTTTACCATAGCAGTAAACTTTAGTAAAACAGTTGAAAGATTTATATTTTTTCTATTTAAATCATTTTAAATACTTTGAATCTAGTTTCCTCGATCTTTTACAAATTTAAGTATTATTGGAAGGTTCAATTAATACTCTTAACTAAATAAGAAGTAATTTTATTAAGAATATAACATTTTACCTCCTATTCCCTTTGATTTTGCACAGACTGAGTAGCAGCATCTAAAATGATGCGTTCGCAATAGGGACTTTTTAATTTTAGATCAGACCACAAAGTGTTATGTGGATCAGGTACAATTTTAACACGACAATCATGGATGGTTCCAGAATAGTTAGATCGTTTAATGTTAGTGTTGGAAAAAATAGTAGATTACTTAAAAAAGATCAAATTCGTCGAATAAATGATATTTATCTGCAAATTACCACCAGTTTAATATTCTATAAAGCATGACTTTATTTTTCAGAAATTTGAACTGCAGCAACATCATCCTCCGAATCCATGTTAACACTGAGCGCAGTTAAAACGCTATTGAAAACAGTTCTTATTATTCCAGACGCTAACGCTTTGCGGAAGCTACAATTGATGCGACGCAAAACGCTCTTACTCTGAATGCTAACATTAATTGGATCGTTTTATTTTGGAAATGAAGTTCTACGCTTCCACTCTGAATAGGCCTTCTTATTTTAAATAGTGCAGTATTTCCAGAAGTAACGCCAAACGAACTGTACCCTCGTTAGAGCTATGTTGTCATTCTTGGTAAAGTCGTGTTTGATCCGAAATTAAATTAAGCCGCAATCGCGAAAGTTTATTTTAGACAAAGTCACTGTAAGAGTTGACTGCACAATTTTTACAAGCTTTTATTTAACTTGCCTTGTTAGAATTGGCCAAAACTTACAACTGAATCTTAAAACAGTTATCCCCAACCAATTGAGCGGATATGTTGCGTACACGTTTAGTTTGGATGACAATGCATGGTTAGCTAAGTGACGTCATTCTAAATCCAATATGGCGGACTCCCAAAGATGGCGGACCAGTTGTTTTTTATGCAACCCCATGATATGGGTATCAAATGAAAAGTTTTGCTGAGAAGAATACAAAAATAAAATGATGTCACTAAAAGCTTGTTTTGAAAAAAATTGTTTTTAAAAACCTTCTGAAATTTCGAGAAAAAATGAAAAATATATGAAAAACGGCCGCGCTAAAGCGCGGGGGGATTTTTAAAGGTTAAGTTCCAAGCATCAGTTTGTTTATAGATTTTATTATCAAAAATTAAAAATTTTCGACCAACACAAATTTTAAGAAAACTAAAAATACGATTTTCAATTTCATCTGCAATTTTCATCTTATAATTTTTACTATTATCATTGTTACCCGGGAACCAAATCTCGGCTACTAGATGTTAATATTTGAAATTTTATTCTACAGTTTAAACAAATATTACTCCAAACGAAAAAATATAGCTATATATCATTTTATTAAAAAATAGTTCATATAAAATAATAATTAAAACAACATATCACAACCGGTATAGCTACCGTTTTCTAAACAGTATTTTAGGACCGAACGCCAATAGGGATCTACACAGAGAAGATTAGGATTCCCTATAATAACCAATAAAGTTTTGGGCCTAGATATAGCAACATTAAGTCTTCTTGGACTAGTTACGAAACCTAAGCTATGTTGTACATCAACTGAAACGTACTCTTGGCACGACCTCACTGTTGAAAGGAGTATAACATCAAATTCTTGACCCTGAAATTCTTCCACTGTACCAATTTTAGGAATATCAAATTCCGCTTCTATTAACAGTGCACGTATTTCTTTCACCTGAAAAAAATATCAATAAATCTGACAAACTCCATGTATTGTTTGAACAACTTTTCTGTTTTTGGTATTTTTTCAGGAGAGACAAAAAGTTCTTAAAATGTTTTAGATGTGAAGAAAAATTAAACATCAAAAAACCAGTATCTTGATATCTTGATTTCTTTATAATATAAAATAATAAGTTAATAAAACCGCACTTTCCTCCAGAATTAATTAAAGAGTCATCTTATGTCAGTCGGGTATTGAACGAAGATTATAAAAGAGAAGAATGAGTGATCTCGTACACCAGTGTTTCATTGTTAGAGAAAAAAACGATCTTATTGTTTGTATGTATTAGTAAGTATGCTGTTACCTGTTTTATATATGGAGTTATTATTCCTACTTGACTGGACTTAACTCCTAAACGATACAATTCATTAACATAATAAAATAATTGTGCTGCTTCATGAGGATTGTACCAAGATGGTGAATCGGAACTTTGATAATTCTCTCCAATCACTCCATGAAAAACCAGACGAGGCGTTTCATTTAAATTTGTTTTTGGTAAAATCTCACTAAGACTTTCAACAAATACTGCTTCGTCGCTATTTTTGTCGTCAATCTACAATCATTCCAAGGGTAGCTAACTTATGCTCCATTTAAATGTAAATCAGCAATGTACTTACGGTTGGTATTAATTCATCGTTATAAAATAACGAACTTGTCAGTTTTAAAATTTGCGGAAGTGAACGGTAATTACACAACAGTTTTGTTACAAGTCGTGGATCATATCCGCTGGTGTTTGGGAATCCTTGGGGGTCAATTACATATGGAAACCTGTTGATTAATCGTTCCAGATACGACTCACTTAAACCACACTCGGCAGCAATTTTACAAAGAACCACTGGTCCTAATTGCATAGGGTCACCTATTAATAACAAAAAAACAAGGAGCATTATTGACCACAATTCTTGGTTCTATTATAACTATTTTAAGTACTAAAATCACAAGGAATTATTAACCTGCTAAAATAACCTGTCCTGACAACTTGTCCAAGAAGATGAGTGGCGTCAAAACTTCTGGTTCACTAGCTTGACCTGCCTCATCCACAATTATGTGAGAAAAGTGCCCTTTAGGGAAACCCATAAGGTAAAGCTGTCCTGATAATGAGCAGGTGGTGACAGTAATGCGATGTCGACCCAAAGAGGCACGACTACATTCTGTAAATATGTTACTTTAACTTCGTAAGTAATCAAAAACAACATAGATGCATCTATTTTAGCAAAAAGGTAATGTTGACATCTATTAAATGCAATAAAGTGAAATGAATCTCAATATACAATAAACTTTAAGCAACGGACAACCACGATTTTTCTTATTTTTCTCATAAAATTCTAGGACGTAAAAGTATGAACAGTTTGGATATAATAAAGTAAAAAAGGACTGATACTTTTGTTATAAATGGTTGTAGTAACTGAAAACAATTCAACATTAGATCATTGTAAGCAGCAGAGTCTTTCTTAATAGGGGGTTGTTATTAGTAGACTGAAATTCATATATTTTATATTTGAAACCAAACTTATTAGTGTAACCATGGCACAATATATAATAAATAGGACATTACAAGTGGTGTAATAATAACCAAACAAATAATTTACATAAAATTCTTAATAAAATCTCTTACTTACCATACTGAATACCAGAACGTGATATTTCGTTATCGGCTGTGCCGTCTCGTGCCAAATTACCAGTGGCACAGTACGGAACAAGATTGACAGGTATATTATCACTTGCTGCATAATTATAAGATACAAGTCTAACCAAGTCGCCAGGTTTTAAAACACCTGAATCTATCAACCGTAAAGCAATTAGATCGGAAGCACTATTTGAAGGAGCAGTAATCAACAATCTGGAGTGAGGAATTAGTCTTACTATTTGCAGTACCATTTCAATAATAGTTACAGTTTTACCAGTTCCTGGAGGTCCAAAAATTATGTAAGGCAGAGGTCTTGCTTTCCCCTGTAAAACATTTTTTACGGCATCTTTTTGTTTTGTATTTAATTTTGTATTATACCACTCCAATTTTAGTTTATACTCTTCGATGGAAGTATCACTCAAACTTTTATTAATATTATTTATTTCTTTAAGTTTCTTCAGCACTTCTAACTGACTCAGTTTTTTATTTGAAGTTGGCGAAGTTAAATTTAAACCATCATGTTGTATAAGATCAGCATCAGAAAAATGTAACTGTACATCTTTTTCATGAACTCTTGATGGAAATAAGATTTCCTTGCCCAACGTTCGAGGTGCTAGGAATACAACATGATGAAACCGCCTGTAAGTTGACCTACTTGGTACAATTTTTATCGAATAATCCTCTCCATTATATTTATCATGAAATATTTGAGAAAACTTTAGAAAAACGTGTTTGGCACCGACTTTGTGTACACAGCCTTCAAAATCCATACCATTTTTATTTGAAGGATCTGACGCAATAACCTTATCTCCTAAAACTATGGAAGGTCTACGTTCACTTAAATTTTCAATCTCCAATAATAAAAAATCTTCGTAGGGAATAAAGCACGCCTTATCTTGATCATAGTTTCGGATCATTATTAAATTCGTAATTTCTTCTAAATACAGTAAATTGTGAAATTTTTCCTCAAAATTAAAAAATGTTAAATTTGAGAAAAGTGACGGTGTTGCTAATCTTAATTCTTGCGTTAATAACATTACTTCTTTGGGGTCATACTTGAATACAGCATCACTGACTTTCTTTGGTACCGTATATGACGGTAACTTATGGGAAATGAAACGAGGGGGTGCAATAGCCCTCCTCCCCCTTATTAATTCATTATTGGATGATGGGACACAAGGTGCTTTAGATGCCGTTTTCAAATAATTTGTAGGTTGCTCGAAGTGAACAGAAACATTCATTTTTATCCATCTACCTATATTGAAATTTGTGAAATAAAATAGCAGTAAACTACTGCTACTACCTACATTTTTTGGTGTACATTCACAAGCAATGTTATATGTAGTATTGCTTAATATGTCTACATTTGACTCAAATTTATTTAAAACCTTACACTGATTGTTAGTGTCTAAAAACTCTACATTTATCAGTGTCATATTTTCTTTACATTCATTTGATACTGAAATTTCAAATGTTGCAGATTTATTAAGTTTGTCAAAATTAAGAATAGCTGTATTAATTTGTAGACCGGAGTATTCGTCTAAATATTCTGGTAAGCTGTTTAAATTATCGAATTGGACCAGTTCTTTGCTGTTATTCTCTGGTATCACTTTCAGAGCTCTCCAACAACACATACCTTGATCGCTTTCTATAACCTCAATAATAACTTTATCACCGACCATTGGCATGTAACCACATGATAAACTGTATTTATTAAAAAATACATTCTTTTTCACAACGCCTGTATGTTCAGCTACATCCCAAGCAGTTACAGTGCCTGTTTCAATATGGGCTCTAACAGGCAAAATTTTATTAATTTCTATTATTTGCCCCGATAAATCAATCGCTCTTTCATTTATTGAACACTTAACATCCAATTCTATCCAGTCGCCGACCACTGGTAAGAAATCTGTTGATACATCATTTAAGTCAATATTTATATCGCCAGGAGACACAGTTAGTGTTCGGTTTATTTGTTTTTCTACTTTACAGATAATAACTCTTGTATTCCATAATGTGTTACCAGTTTCTACTACATCCCAATCATTGTCAAATAACTTTACGTTAATAATATTTTCAGTTCCATTGGACATTAAGATATTATATGAAACCTTTGATCCAATACTAATATTAATGTTTTCAGAACTAAATGTATATATGTCATCTATAAAATATTTATTTTCTTCACGTTTTGTTATTGTTCCAACTTTATTACAATAATTGTTAGGTAAGTTATCCGCCTCTTTGGGTGTTGTTTCATTTACATCAGTAACATTTTCTTCTAAAATGCTACATGCATCTTCTAATGATAAATCTTTTCCTTCCTTGAAATTGTTAGATTTCCAAAAATATGAAAAGTAGGTCCACATACTTCCACATATACTTCCCACAGTTATAAATAAGACCACAGGAAACTTATTGTTAGTTAAAAATGACATCTATGTATCGAAGTATTTAAAAAGTCTCAAGCATATTTTTTCCTTTTTTTTAGGAAACTGATATGTTCTTAAAAAATAAACGATATCAATACAGCTGCTAAAATATAAAATTATATTTCTCAAAGAACAATAATACATATAAACAAACCCATTTTGTACGCTGCACATATAATATAAAAAAATTAGGTTAAGTTTGTTTAAACTTCAAAGCATAGGCTACCCCGAATTGGCAGGCTGCTCACTCTCTTACTTTTAACAAGTCTGCACTTTAGTACGATAACGCGTCGTAATGTGCGCTGATTGTAATAATATAGATTTTAATGATTATCTTGTAGATATTATAACTATTTAATGTCTCCTTAATCATTTGTAGATAAATCTTAAATAACAACGGCGTTTATTGTAAACTGTTTTTATTTGTAACGATGCATTCACTTAAATTCACAACATATTTTATTATTAATGTTTAGAATGTCCACTAAACTCTCTAGTCGCCTTAGACTTCATCTTAAAGAACATCTCCGTTTTCATCTTTATCACCAACAGTGCTATTTTGTAAAAATATGAAAGCGGGGATATAAGTTTAGCTCTTTATTCAAAACCCAGTTTAAGAACTTTAAATTATCGATCATTTTTTTTTTTTTGAAACATAATTGCTCCAAATTTTTTTTTTTCTAAACAGAAATCCCATCTATCGAAGACAATAGATGACAGAAAAAGATCTTATTTTTCTATGTTCTATCAGTTTGTAAATTAGTAGCAAATTTTCAAAAATACCCTATTAAATTTGTATATATAAATTGAAACACATTTCAGGGGTGCTTATATCTATTTATTAAGTAAAAAATATTTTTTAGTTTCTGGCAATCCTTTCATTCACTTATTTAATTTTAAAGATCAGTACTTTTAAAATAATGTACAAATAATAATTAAATAAAAATTAATGTGATAATTTGCAGTCTCTTATTCGAGATATTATTGAGTATTCTTAAATATCAAAACTATTTCTAAATTAAATTTTGAATGTTATAATATAAAGCTGCTTATTACCAGGTGATTTGAAATGTCTTAAAATTTATTAAGAAATTAAGATTAAAAGATTTAAAACACAGGCTGTTCCGCATTTTAATCACGGAATACCCGGAATTCATAGTAAAAATAATGGTACTAGTTTATACAGAAAGTAATTTTCAAAACCCCGTTTTTGAGATACGGGATACAAAAAATGATAATCTCCAAATATTTTCTAAACAAACAAAAATATTGATAAGAAATTTTGTGTATGAATAAAATGGGCTTGAAAATTTTCATTTGACTTTTTTTATGTCATTTCTATACCACTGATTTGAGTTAGTGATGGGTCGGTATTTGTAAAAGCTTATTTTATTGGAAGGGGATTTCGCATTACTACCACAAGAAGTAAAGTTACTCTGGAAAATAAAACTGCACAACTGCGGAACCACAGCTGAGGAAAATTTGGTTTTAATATCTTCAATTGTTCAGAGATATTTAGGGATTTCTTATGAAAACTTTAACAAAATGAATTTCTGGTGTACACCATTAGTATCACGGTCCTACGGACCGTGCATTAATATCTCTTGAACTAGAAAACCATTAGTATCACGGTCCTACGGACCGTGCATTAGTACGTCTTGAACTAGAAGATTTACAGGGTTGGTTAAATTACGAGAAAGTTACATATTTTCATGCCATTTCGGATTATGAAAAGAAATTGGAGATAAGAGCCCTTTTCTTTTACTCATGATTTCGGAATCATAACGTGTTACGATCCGATGGAAACCAATCACATTGCTAGATTTAGGATCGTAACGCGTTATGATTCAGAAATCATGAGTAAAAGAAAACAGCTAAGTTGTACTGTTCCCAAAATAAGCTGAATAAACTGAAAACTTGGTTTTTCTTATTTCTTTCATATCTTTTTTATTATTGAATAATGAAACCTAATGAAAATTTGTATGTAGATCTCCTAGATCCTTATGTTTTCATAACCAACTTTTAATTTTCTTATGGACGTCAAATTGGATTTTTGTACCATTAATGAGGCACATTAAATATCGAATTCAATGATGTATAATACTTGGTGAAGGGATTTTATTAAGGGATAAAAAAGGTCAATTTTATGATATATTTAATTCGATCACAGTAGCTATGAAAAAACAAGTGAAAATTTTGACATTTCTATTTAAAAGCAAACAATTTAACATTTTACTGCTGTGAATAAGTGCTCAATTGTATTTATTTGTTTGTAATGACAAATGTATACAATGTTTACTTTGCAATATAACAGACATTCGGTGGCTGCGTCACATTATGAAGAGATGCATCCTGAGAGAAGGCAATGGAATAGGAATTTTTTCCAATGTTTATACAGGCGATTACAAGAATATGGTACTTTAAAAAATGTAAGAAATCGTGTTGGTACATTAACATAAACCCAGAAATATCCAAAAGACAAGAGGCATTAGAATATAATTTATCTGTCAGGCATTCAAAAACGTTTTACAAAGCATAACTATAATGATTTTAAATTTAAAGTAAGTGCAAATATTGCAGTAGAGAGAGAACCAGCAAAGGCTGGAATTTCGTGAATGGTTTCTTGATCAAATGAGGGCACATCCATATTTTCCCGTTAAAATACAGACTGATGAAACATTATTTACGAACGAAAAAACAAACACACTATCCTACCCACAGGAGTAAGGCCACAAATTCGGCCAATACTAACATATCAACTTTTTCACGAAATGAAAATTTTGCAGGTATTTTCCAAGACGATGGAATAGTACGTGGTAATGTGCAGTCTTTGTAAACATCAACAATAACACATGAAATCAAAATCTACTAGTCGTGAAACTGCATACTTTACTTCTGTTCGATTCAATTAGTAAAGACGATGTTGCACAAAATCCCGATTTTCTCAAAAACCGTTATTTTTTTCGAAAAATTTGTAAGAGTAAATAATTGGCATACTGATAAAAAAATCGATATCATTTTAAGAGCGCCCTACCCCTAGTCCGGCCCTTATTGGGCTTTCAACAAATTCATAGTTTTACTAATTAAAGAAAACAAATGCAAATCATGTACGAAATTTGGTTGCCTTATGTTAAGGCATTACTCAAATACAGTTTTTCAAAATTTAAGTCATCTTCAGATGCCAATATCTCTTCAACGGTTACATCCCAGAAAAAAGTGTTACATAATAAATCGGCATATTTTAAGATCCTCCATACATGCCTGCTCTGCGTCGCTAGACTTATGAAACACCCTGTATGAACATACCAATTTTCATTAGTCTACTTTCAATAATAAAAAAGATGTGGACGAAATAAACGTCAAATTTTCAGGTTTTTCAGCTTATTTCAGGAGTTCTAAGTACCTCCCAATTTTTTTCATAATTCGAAATGGCATGAAAATATGCAACTTTCTTATAATTGAACTAACTCCGTATATTTTCCAGTTCAGAACAAACTAACGGTGCACACCTTAAAAGTGACCACCCTGTATAGTCGAGTGCTATTATTTTCATTTCCTCTACGGAATCCTCGATTTCCGTGAATAAAATTCGAGACGTCCTAACCTAACACCACTAAATTACGGGGAAGGTTAAAACAATTTAAATTTTCTAGCAATTGCTACATTTATTTGTAGTTTCAACATCTAGAATATAATATTTGTTAAATTACAAAAAGGTTTAAACTTTTATGTTTAGATCTGCCAAATTATATATATTTAAGCACGAAAGAGGAAAATAAGTATTTTTTTCACCTTTGGCAGATGTAACACACAACCAGTCTCACAAAACTCTATAAATAGAGATATGCAACACTCCTTAGGTTAAGCCATACATACCATAAGGATTAAGTGGTATTAACCGTCAACGAGTAGATACAAATTTAAATAATAGATTGACATGTTTTTTTGTCATGGTAAATATGGTGAAACCGAAGAAATATATAAATCTGTTAAAAAATTGTAAAAATAATGTTTCATACTTTAAGAAATGGAATATACAATTTGAGACATTTTTACATTTTTACAACTCGTCTTTCCTCGTGGAGTCGTCGTCTTCCTCGACCTCCTCCACGGGCTCCTCCACGCCTGCACCGTCGGCACCGCCGGACTCAACGAATTTGGTTAAACCGTCAAAGGTTCTGGGCCCGTTGTATTCTATGATCTGATTTTCACCTTTTGTGTACAATTTAATCGTTGGAAAACTAGAAATCTTGGTGTGTTCCAGTTCGTTTGCCGTGGCGTCCATTTTTGCGATAACTATATTTTCATTGTCTTTAAAGTGCTCCCCTACTTTATCGTAGATAGGAACTAGCTGTTTGCAGTGCCCGCACCACGGAGCGTAAAATTCTACCAGTACGTCTTTGCCCGAATCGAGCGCGACGCTGTCAAAGTTAGAGGCTACTAGTACCTTGACGTGTTCTTTGTCCCAGTCTTCTGGAAGATCTTGGCTAAGTAAATGCTGTTTGAGTTTGCCGTCGAGGAAATCTTGAACAAACTGCTGGATGCTTTCCGCAGACAGGTCATCGGTGGGTGGTTTATATTTTGCCATATCCTCTTCGAGTTTGATTAATCGGGCGGCCGGTACCTCTTTACCTTGCATTCCGAAGAATTCGAGGATTCTTTGATGATCGTCCTCGTCGGCATCGATAGTTACAAACAAAACTTGTTCCCTGAACGGTTTTGCCACAGAACGTGCGGCTTGAGAAATTTTCTCGAAAGATTCCTTATCTCCCCTGCTTAGGAACAAAAGCAAATGGCTCTTAATTTCGCCTCCGAAAATTTTCTGTGCAGTGTCATGGTTAAATTCAACGATCAACGGTAAAGCGTTAGTTTGAATAAACTTCTTAATATCAGCGTCTACTGCTTCTCCATCGTACACAACTTTTTCTTCATCGAACTAAAAATATAGCAAATGTAATAAATTTTTAATACAAATGCATTTAGAGATTTGTAAAACTCATATAGAAAAACTGTTTCATTTAAAATTACATTTTTTTTATTTTTTTGTTAATACAAGGTGTCCTGAAATTCATGCAACAAAATTTGGTCATAGATTCTTACAAATTTAGGGAACCCGTATTTTTTCTTTTTGCCAACTGGCCCCCTCTTTCAGAGTTACAGCCCCCTGAAGTCTTTTTTTATATCTCAAAACCATGTTGTACGAGTATCACTAAATTTGGTACACAAGGGTTTTATAACATGTGGAATCTCACAGTGCTACGCTTTTTGGCGAGAAACCCCCTTAAGACACTTTTTTGTGGGCCCCCTCGTCTTTGAACCAGAAAAATTTGGCCACAAATTAGATTTTTTTAAATTTATTAGTTAGCTAGAAAGTCATTAAATTTAGAAACTTTTTTGTCTCTTCATATTTGTTTCGTAAAATGCAATGTTTTTGAGGAAATCACGATATGCATTCGATCACATTTTGACATTTTTCTCAAAAACATTGCGTTTTACGAAAAAAATTTCAAGAGACAAAAATGTTTCTAAATTTAATGGCTTTCTAGTGGACTAATCATTTCTAAGAAATTTAAATATGCCACCAAATTTCTTTTTGATTTGAAGGACAAGGGGACCCACGAAAAATTGTCTTAGGGGGTTCCCTGCCAAAAAGCATAGCACCATCATTCCACGTCACAAAACCCCTGTGTACCAAATTTAGTGATTCTCGTACAACAGGGTTCTCAGATATAAAAAAAAAAGATTATTCTTAGGGGCGGATTTCACGAGGCTGTAACTCCGAAACAGGGGGCTTCTTGGCAAAAATAAAAAATATGGGTCCCCTAAATTTGTATTAAGATCAAATGTTGTTGCTTTAATTTCGGGACATCCTGTATGAAAGAAGTTGGTATAATTTTTTGAAATATTTTTAGTTGTTTTGTAATTTATAAAATGGAAAATAACTAAAAGGAATTGCTTTTATTTATAAAAAATGACAACTTATTTTGATTGCAGCACCAGTTTCACAATTTTGTCGAAATAAAATTAAAGGTCTTTTTTTGTAAAAAAAAATTGTTCTCTTACAAATCTTCCTTTTTTTACATATTCAAGATTTGTTAAAAATCCGTAATAAAATGCATGAACACAACCACAAATTTAAATTTTGATATAAATAATTCACACTTGCAAATGCAAATACGAATACTTGAAACATCCCTAGTTTAAACCCCTAAAGACAAATTGTGCCGTTTAATAGTTTCTTAGTTTCTAAAAGTGCAGAGATAATGGGGAATTCCCCACTTTTGCCATAAAATGGGATAATGTGACAAAAAACTGCATGCGCATTTTTTAATTTTTGTGTGAAATTATTATTTAACTGACAATTTAAGGAAACATAAAAGTTAAATGTATTTGACGAGTCGTGATAATTGCTAGACTATGCTTTAAATGTCTTATCTGTTAACAAGTTCAACTAAAATCTGATACCACCGTCTTTCACCTTTTATTTACTAATAGAGAGCAAGAGAGTTGTTTAAATAAATTTTCTGTAATATCATATAGTTTTATGACTCACCTTTTTGAATAAAATGATAGAATCTGGTTGAGCTTCATACTGACTGTTGACACTGTCTTCTGAAGTAATTCCGAACGGAATGTCATCTATGCCGGAAGCTACGCTCAAAAATGCTTTTGCAGCGTCAGTAGATTGGTCCTTGAAAAATCCAATAACGGCAACATTATTGGCCTCGATGAACTCCTTAGCGTCATCTATAGACGCTATTTCCTTGGCTGGAGGCCCAGTCTTTTTCAAAAGCCAAGCAACGATATCATCTGCCTGTCTTCCACCTTAAATGGATTTCAAAATAAGCCATTAACCGTTTATCAAAAGAAAGTGTAATACACAGAGTGCCCCCATAAGAATTGATACAGAGCATGTGTGTGTAAGGGTGTCCAAAATATTATAATCAAACAAATATACAAAGTCTCACCCAGGTGGTTAATTTGAAAACATTTGCTTCTAAAACTTTTTTTGCTCTCGCAAAACTTTGATAAATCTTCTTAATTTCAAGAAAAACAGGTTTTTGAAATAAGGTATTCTGACAGAGAGAGAAGAGAAATGGAATCACCAAAAAGTCAATAGTGGGCTGTGAATGTATCACACAAATTTCAAAAAATGCGCTGGAAAGATTTCATTTAGTGAACAAATTGATATGACGGTAGTGATGGGTATCTGAGAAGAAAACTGCCAAAGAAGTGTGGAAGAGGATCGGAGGAGATTTACTAATCAAATTGTATCACATACAAAAACATTTTGCAATGTTGATGGTACGGTTTGAGAAACAGGTATAACTTTTAGTACAAGTCGAGAAAACCATAATTTAAACACAGTACCTACAAGATGAAGAGGTTATTTGCAGACAATCGAGTATAAACCACAAATTACGACAATTTTTTTTACTCTGTTATAAAGGTATTAAAGCTAATTCAAATAAATTTGAAATATATTTTCCTAAAAAAAACCTCTCAAGTGAAGTCAAACAATGAACCATGGAGTAGTTATTTCCTGTAATATCAACTGTTAAGAATCTTATCTGTTAGATTAGATATGTTTAGCATATATCGATTTTTTAGTATTAAAAAAACACTGTGACTTAGTTTGATAAAATTTTATTTTAAGAATTTTTTTTGAATTGCTATGAATTAGCTTATATCTTCTAGACCAAAAAAAAAAAAAACTAATAATAAAACATATCTTTTTTAACAAGAAGTTTATTTTGGCAAGGTGGAGTATCGAAAAGTTCTATTCAGATTACACAGCCCTACAAAAAAAAAAAAATTCTGTGCATCGGACTAGACCACTATATCCATATGTTTTCGAGGCTGCCGAGTTCAAATCCAAGGTCCGTTTGACCTTGTCAAAATTCACTATATCAGCATCAGTAAAGATATCTTATGTCCATGAATGCAGAGATATTCGAGCAGTCTATATGTAAAAATTTCATTACATACGAGTTATAAAAAAATTGACCATTAATGCAATGTGAATACTCATCTTTCACCATAGAATATGAAACAAATATTACTATATTGTTGACATGTACCATATAACGCACTCAACTGTCCAAAATTCTTCCTCAACTTCAAGCACGGCAACTATCCAGAACCTTTCTTACCGTGAAGGATGAAAGTGTTAGTAACCAATAATGCTGTATAAAATGATAGCGTCGGATTTTCAAATGTTTTGTGTTATTAGAAGTAATTCATTGCATCCCTACCATGCACAAAATGTTCAAGAGTTGTCTCGGATTTAGATTGTGTTACCTTTTGTTAGTTTATTTTAAATCAAGACATTAATTTCCACAAAAACAATTATTTTCGCAGATGAGGTTTATTTCACCTGCCAATCTTATTACCAATTAGAATTACCAATCTTTTATAATTACCATCATTACTCGGATATCAACCCTTATGCAATAGTTCCGCGACATTTTCAACGTAAATTTAAAACGAATGTTTGGGGAGTATTACTAATAGACATCTTATTGGTCTAGTAATTTTACCAAATCGTCCAAGTGGCAAAAGTGATCTGGAATTTCTTCCTTTGTTGCTAAAAGATTTACTATTGGAGTTTAAATTATAACTTTGAAGGCCCCCATAATTGGCCACCATGAGTACCGAACCTAAAGAAATATTTCCTTTGGGAAATGTTAAATAATTCGTCTATTCTACCCCTCGTGAAACACGTGATGACTTATAGAATTGCATTATGAATAAATGTAACTCGAAGATGATCACAAGTTATTCATCATATCACGGACAGAGTGAATTGTATTTTCGGCGAAGAATAAATTTATACTTCAAAGAAAATGGTCAGTCATTTTGAACAATTTATCTAACTTGCCTAACAATTTCTTCTTGTATAGAATAGCTTATGAATAATTACGTTTTTCTTGAAAATGGCAAGGTGTACCAGGGTTTAGCAAAAGCAAGAAAAACTTTTAATAGAATTCTGTATAACATGAGAGCATATGCTTTCAAATTATCCAAAGGGCACACAAATCAGTATGAAGTGCATTGCAATACCTCAATGACCTTGAACTCGTCAATTTATAACCCATAATGTATCTAAATTAAAACGCTGCAGTTATTTTTTTTGGCCTCACTTTGAAGGCCTGTAACTCCCATCTAGGTACAACTTTATATAAATTTGGTTAAATTACCATATTTTGGGCACCCCTACATGTACCTGCACTGTATCGGTTCTTAAACGGAACACCCACACCTTTTCAATTCATTAGAATTTTTTTAAAACAATTCTCAAAATGTTTCTTGATACCTATATCAATGAACATAATCCTTTAAATTCTGATAAAAGGACATTTTAATACACCTAGTCTTAATCCAAATGAATCAACAGTTATACATTACATCCTAATATAATATCGAGTTGGAATAATACAATTTTTAAATGATTTTGACAATTTCCTAAATCAGTTATAATCAATAAAGAAAAGTATAAGTACTCGTAAGAAAAAATTAAACAAACGTCACACTACATTTAAATAAATAAATCAGAAAAAAATAAATTCGCCATCGAATATAGGTAATAATACTTTTATAACATGTTTTTCTTGCTACGAAATAATATTCTATAGATATATGGCAAAAAGGTCAATTAATTAAATTCATCTTGTTCGTGAGTTTCAAATGCGCAGAAGTGCTTATATATTTAAATATATGATATAAAACCTTCATTAAATAATTGTATTGACCAGACCTAAGTAAAACTTTTGTGCACAAGTATTTAGTAGTATTTAATACAGAAATAAATTTTGTATTGTAAATTCTCTTCGTTTGTGCCTCTCGCAAACAAGATGAGTTTGGTCAAAATAATTAATTTAGAAATACATTATTTTTATTGTTTTTCTGTTTATAATCCTAAATTTTTGTAGATCTAATGTATCACTGTCTCAATTTGCCAACATTATGAAGGTCGTGCTTTGCACTTTTGCACAATTATAAGTAAAAAGTCAATTTTTTACTTGGAATTTGTCCATAATTTGGATTTTCATAAACTTCTTTTACAAATTATTGTATTATTCTTAAGAAATCACATTTCCTAATCACAGTCTTGATAATAAAAAAGGATAAAGTTTATATAATAAATTAAATTTTGATCAAGACCAATCAAATTTTTTGATGAATTAGTATTGTAGCTTTATTGATTGGAAATAAATGTTTGTTATAATACTGCCTTGAAGAGAATTGTAATACAACCAAAACATCAAAATACCCTATATACAACTGAAATACTTGGCTAAACTTTAAATGTGGATTCAACATCACAAATTAATTAATTAGATACTTATCGTAAATTATTACGAAGGTCTTGGCTCTTCCGATATCTTGTTGTTCTGTGAGGATACAGAACATTTGATACCAGAACATTAAACGTTCTAGAAACATTTCTAATGCTTATTGCAGGAAGCAACTACTCTGTGTACTAAAGACTCGACCAGCATTATATTACATCTGCAATATCTATAATCACAGACATTTAAGACATGGGAAGTAATATTTCCCACATCGTAAAAACAATTCTACACATTTTAAGGTCTCTAAATTTGATTTGTATCAAATTATTTATAAAACAATAAGATGAAAATTGTAATAATCTCATTATCTATCATTTTTTTTTCTCAATAATATTTAAGACCCTGTATCTAAAAAATTGAGAAAACATTTTTTATTAATTCGTGATTAAAATGTGGTCAAGTGTCTTTGATACACTTCACATGTATGTAAACAATATTAATGAGTAATTAATTGTAACATGCAAAATATAAAAAGTCTTAGTTAGTTAAAGTTATTATAATAATTACAACTACCTATCAAATGCCATTTGACATTAAACGTTGATTTTGCTACACAAACAACCAATTGTTTTCGGATATTTACCACTATTAAGATGTGACATAAATATGATAGGATTCATCGCTAAATGCATTTATTTCAAAAAGTTTATTTTTGTTGCCCCTGATTGCACGGTTATGGGAAACTTATCTAGTTATGGTATTTATGCGTGTGGAGTAAATTTTACATACTTTTTACGACCTACAGAATTTTAGATTCCAGGCATGAATAATTACCAATAAAGATATTTAAATATATTGTTACATATTTTACGTGCAATAACTGAAATACTTCTATAAAACAGCAAATGCGTGATAAAATAAGTAAGCCGTTAATGTACACAGTTTTATGATTTCTTACCATTATAATCGATGGGATTTCCATTCTTGAAGAACTTCAACGTGGGGTATCCCCTTACACCATGTTGCTCGGCAAGTTCTTGTTCCTCAGTGGCATCGACTTTAGCAAGTTTGATGGAAGAATTTTGTTCTGCCAATTGCTTCGCAGCTTTAGCATATTCTGGTGCCAGAGCTTTGCAGTGTCCACACCACGGAGCATCTATAGAAAATAAATTACATTTGTACAGATTGACCTCAGAAGTTACAATATGTACCATGTTAGCCAGTCCAGAACTCTATTCATTTCTTTCTTACTTATATTAAGCTTTGTAGTTCCAGACTGGAGAGATATGCAGAAAAAACTAGATTCTCCTATCTTTAAAAGCAATCAATGATGTGACAAATCATATTTTGCAATTGCTTTTTTGTGAATAAATTTGGCTTTATATGTATATGTATACTGTATCTCAAAATAGACTCTACATAAACACATAAATGAAAACGAACTGGAAAATACTAAATTGTACCGTTTTTGGTTCATTGACCTGTAAAATTGACAATATCCTAATACTAGAAATAGGTTAGTCAAATACATAGGTACACTATAAGTAACACTGTATTCTTCCGTACTGTGAAGCATAAAATGATTCAGTACCTATTGGTTAATGAAAACTATTTTTTTTAATAAATATAAGGTATCAATACCAAATAATTAAGAAGTTCAATCATATAGGTAGGTATGTGCTAACCACCAATTAACTATGAATATTTCTCACAAATTACAAATTATATAAAAAACAAATGTATATCACAATACCTACACAAACATTTTAACTGTGAAGTATTGTATAAAATACGGAACACCGGTGACTTTTCGATTAGAAAATGGTTCAAGTACATACCATAACTACTGGAAAATATATCAGCTATATTGAAATTTGAAATAAAAGTTTTATGATAGTCAAGAATAATAAAAAATTTAACGATATCCAATCATACTTACAAAATTCTACCAATACGAATTCATTGTCGGTCGTTGCCGTCTGGAAATTAGACTTGGTTAATACTAAAACATCGTCTTCCGTCTTAATTTCTTCCGCCGAATAAACAGAAATTACAAATAATAAAAAGGAAAATAACTTTAGAAGCATTTTTAATATCTAACAATTACCCGTCTTTACTTCTTTATTAACGTGTGCGTTGAACGGACAAGACAGGCAATGACAATACAACACAACACAAGAGAGAAGAGGAGACAACACAACGTGGCAATCGTAGCATGGCAGAATCGTGTGGAACTGTGATTGGTTGAGAGAATATAATGACGTAATAATACGGGAGATGAATGATTTAAAAGTGATTTTTCACGAACTCGAACATAACCCTTAGTTTAGACTATTACATGCTGTCCGACTCTAAAACCGGTCACCTTAAATGTAGAGAAGCCTCAAAATGTCAAAAATATTAAATATATATATATAAATTATAGAGAAAATTTTTAAACATTTTTGAAGATGCTGCTATGACTAACTTTTGATGGTCACTTCCGGGTTCACTTTTGAGTATTTATATGGCACTGTAATTTTGAAATCAATTCGGTCAATCAGTCACGACGAATACCTAATCATCTTAAAACTTCTACCCAATCTTCCGGCTTCTTATGACCTTCAACCAATATTTTTTATGCTGTTTCTATGTACATACATTACATGTTACGTGTGTTACCCAAACCTGCCTACGATTGAATGTTGATATAATTTAATATTTATATTTTAGTGCAATATACCAATTCAATGAAAATTATAACTTTACTGATAAATAAAATTTCAATATTTCAACAAGCATTTTTATACTAGAATATGAGCACGAATTTACATTATATCTATGTATATATAGGTACCTCGTTGTTTCACAAGTAGATATTTTTTGCAGGAATTCTTCTACAACCTGTTATTGCGTCAAGTCAGTATCTATCTAGTACAGCATGCAGCATGTACCTTAACATATTAGAGACACGGTCCGTAAAAGACCATACGGACCGTGCATTAGAGATGTGTGGTCGAAGTCAAAAACTGACACTCTAGATCAGGGAAAGGAATTGGACATTGGATCTTATTAAAATAATTATTTCATATTATTTTCAATTTCCAGAAAGGAGCTAGTCCACTTTAATAATTATTTTCTCAAATCTGATTCCGTGTCTGGTCTTCATAAGTATTATTTAGACCATTTTCTTTAGTTTTGAAATTTAAAAAATGTTTTTTTGAATTACACCACCAATATTTAGTATACCTGACACAATTAACATTGGAATTAGTATTAAAAATTACTGAACAGATTTTGTTCCTTTATTTAAAATTACAAATTATAGTGAAAAACTATGTTACTATATGATTTCATTCATGGATAACATGATAGCGTGATAGCTTGATTGAATCATTCTTATTTATATAAAAAATAACTGAATGTTATATCACTTTTTGCAATAATTCCTACCTACCCATTTATCTATATATATATATATATATATATATATATATAT